GGCCTGGGGCGACGTCTGCGCTCCAGTAGGGAAGTAAGACTTCAAACACGAGGCCTGTGCAACCTCCACCCCTTTGCAGCTCCCTCTCCTGCTGTTCTCCTGAGCCAGGCGGGGGATCTCTGAAGACCCTCCCAGCAGTCATCACACCATGAATCAGTGCCACTGTACTCACTACATTCCACTGTCACTTTCTTACCTCACTTATATCCACACTTCCAGACAAATACATTAAGGCAGGAATGTGTGCAACATGCAAATATTGTGTTCCTCACCACTGGGCCTCACTATTAGCTCCCTCCCTTTATCCTTCAATTCCACATACCAGGGACAAGGTCAGACGCCCAATTAATTTCGGCAGAACTGTTCAATGATTTGTTTTTGCAGGGCGGACTGGGTAACCTGGTGGCATGGTTATCTGTATGAGTCTGTGGATCTGGCAGAAGATAACAGAAAAGGTGAAGAGAGCAAGCAGGTGAACAAATTATGTTTTGGAAAGTTAATGTCGGCCGAATGTCTGGGAAAGAGGGTGCTCTCTCAGTATATTAAGTCTGTTCATCTGCAGGTTTTAGAAAATGAGGGTTTTCCATAACACCAGACACCTGGAAAACCTGACTCAGCCCACAAGAAATAAATCCTTACAAAGAAATCCAGTGGGCCTCATTACCTGAAAGCACTTCTACAACACATTTTAATCCTGATACACTGTGCCCGGGATGTCATATCAAATCAGCCAAAATGTGCTCTTGCTGCAGGAAACCCATGCAGCCACAGCTGACAATCTGAGAGACAGGGCCCCTGGGAGCCAGGGTGGCTCAGCTGAGGACATAACTGCACGCAAAGCAACCCCACACACACAAATACAGACAAACACACACAAGAGTCTGGTGGCAGACAACAGTCACCCTGTCATCTTCGATTGTGGCCTGCTCATGTTGGACCAGCGACACCTCACACACAGCTCAGTGGGCCTTGGCCCCCCTGGTGTCCCGCTGCCGCCACAGAGGGACTGCCAGACAGTTACTTCAGCTCTGCAGAACAAACACAGGAATCGGCCTGTCTAAAAAAAGTATGGAGGGAAATATGTCTAAATATATATCGAAGTGCAATGGTCTATATTTGGCCTTTTTTAAAAGACAGATATCAATGAGTGAGCGGAACAGAGCAGACAACGGGGCTGGAAGTTTGTGGTCACAGAGTAACTCATGGTTGTAAGCATGAGTGCGCTTCAAACAAGTGGTCACCAAAATATAATCCTGCATCTGAATATGGGAGCAGAGAAGACGAGACATGTTTTTTATATACACACACACACCAGTAAAACATTGTTTTACAGTGCTTCTGTCTAAAAAAACGTTGCTTTACAGTGTAGTTTCCCCTTCTCATCTATTTGTAGCGTAAACTTAGGCTGAAACTAGCAACAGAAATCATCTAGAGCCAAAATGGAGGACATGTTGACAAACATCTTTGGCTCTGGGCGACGTTCATTCAATGCAGCAGCCTGCGGGCTCACATGTGTTTGGCAGATGGCACCAAATAGATGGCACATAAGGTCAGAAAGAGCACTCAGCTGTATATCTCTCACACATACAGGCCCGCCAGGAATGTCTGCACAAGGCCAAGGATTATGGCACCTCAGGTCTGTGGTGTGTGCTTATGTGTCGGTGCTTCTTTAGTGTGTGTGCCTGTCTGCGTGTGTTTGCACTTGCATTGTAAAAATGATACTGGCAACACCTCTTTTCTCGATCATAAGTGTTTACTGTCCCACACAAATGATTTACTCTCACATCACAAACTTTGTACCTTTTATAGGTAATTCATGCTCTATTAGTACACAAATGTTTCAGTATGTTAGGGATACATTCATCCATTTATGTGCACAGTCATTGATGATGCACATAAAGAAAACAGCACAAAATGTGACCTGAGGACATGTACCAGGAGCTGCTAAGTGTAATCTTTGCTCAGCTGTAATGTTAAGTGTTCACAAGGTGGAAACTTGCAAAATAAATAAATTAAAATGGGTGGCACCACAGAAACTACGTCTTATGTAGAGATTAATTATTCGTAAACGTGGAAAGAAATGAATTGAAGCCAAGGAGCCAGCTGAACTTGTTATTAACAATGTATGTAAAGCAAAGAGTAAAAGAGGTTTATTTATGAAGTTACCGATCATTATGTAAGCGTAAGAGTTAGCGATGTTAGCATAATCCCATTTCACAATGTAGAAATGTAAAATATGCATTAAATCAAAGAACTGTTAGCTAAATCTAACGTGTTGCTTGGCCTCCTACAACTGTCCTTTTTGGCTGCTATATTTTTCGCAGGTCGAGATGCTACAGTGAGTGATTTTTTAAATGTTGCATATATCTTGTATCATCCAATTTGTCATTACTTTAGTTTTCCCATAAATAAGACAACCCAGTTTAGCAACTTAACTTTAGAACTTAAAACAGACATTAAACATAAATGTAATAAAGAAATTAGAAGATTCAATTTAACTAAAAGTAGTCAATCTTTATAGACAGCCTGTTTACGATTTACTCGTTTCTATTGCTTCTGTTCTACAGATTACATCGTTTAATTGGTATTTAAGAGACAATAAAAGGTTTCAGGGCCATGTGTGTTCTTTCTTCAAGTCATTGTTCTACAGCCATATGATGACAGCTGCTAATTAAGTGTAATAATCAAAAGCTGCAATAGTTTTTAATGACATAAATGTTTACACGAAAATTAAGGTTGAAACAGATCTGACTTGTTAACACTTCTATAGCAACACCTGACATCTGATACATCCACTCTTGACCTAATTGCCAAATAAATCCTGGAAAGCAAGAATACACAAAGGACTTATTTGAATAATTAGAAACACATTTCGGAAACAACCGTTTTCAATGGAGACAGAAGTGACACTAATTTCTATTGTATTGTGTCTGGAGACAACAACACCAGACAAAACTGTAAATCAGACAGAAAGAAGAAAGTTTCTAACCGTTTTGAATTAATCCAGATCTTGCACATCAAGTGTTGTTTTGTATAAACAGGCAACTGTGGTTTACTCTGCTACTCATCCATAACTGCAGTCCATAACTGCAGTCCATAACTGCAGTCCATAACTGCAGTCCATATCTCACACATCTTTCCTCCATACATCACAGGTAGAGATGTGTGGAGAGGAGTTCCGTCAGCTGTTGATCTTTATCAAACACTCCACCTGACATATTAAAGCACACGAGATAACACGGCAGGAAATTCCCAGAGAGGTGTATAATGACACAGACCAGAGGGAGCACGCGTTGCTCTGTTAGCCGTGTGTGTACAGCAACAAAGACAGGCTCCAGGAAAGGTTTATCGCTTCTTCTCCGAGACATCTTCTGTTCCATCTCATCAGATTTACAATGTCTAATTACACAGATAAAAATGCTGGGTGTGTGTTTGTGTGTATCTGTGCCAAGGCGAACACGTGGCACAGGCATCACGTGGATCTCCCCATGATTATTAATTGGCGAGTCAGATGCTTGATGGATTGATCTGAATGGGTGCAGCAGGATGCCTGAGCTCATCCAGCACACGAGGGAACCTATTGTATTGACTTACAGGTAAACTCCGAGGGCCTTATTAGTAGGTCAACAACTACTTCATCCTCACAGCAGCCGGCATCATCACCATCATCACTGTAAAGCTGACAAAATGTGTGACGCCTTCAAGCCTACTTTGTTCAACAAGTGTTGGGGTTTGGGGGCTGCTGTGGGCGACCCCCTCATTGTTAGGTGCTCCCTTTGTGGTCTTACTCCTCACTGTACTGAGATGAGGAAAAGAAAGGGCTTCTCTAACAGTCGGTCATGCCCCAGTGCTCCTGGCAACAACAGGTCCTGAGGACGCAGACCTGCCTGGCCTATATTGGCTTGGCTCTCAGTTAGCGGTGGCGACACTAGCCCCCTGTCAGCTGTCCCATTCAGGGGCTGGGCCGGCCCTTTATTAAAGCTTTGAAGACTGCTGAACAAAGGGGCGTCCTATGTTTAGATGATAGAATGTAAGCAACTGCTTTTCTGCTTGGGCAACACAAGACAAAGAGCCTCCTTCTGGATATGGGGAGTACGCAAGAGAGAGTGAGTGAGAAAAACCCAAGAGGGAGGGAGAGAATACGAGGGGCAGGCCACGAGCTGTGGTGATACTCCGTCTATGATAGATTGAAAATCATAGTGAGCCGGCAGCTGTGTGTGTGAGGAACAGAGGCTTGTCTGACCAAAATGCAATGAGTGATTATTACCACAGGTGGTTCTGATGATCTGGAGATTAATAATTAAGCCACGGAGCCAAGACTTCTCCATTAATTAGAGGATGGAGGAAGATGGAGGACTGCTGCCTTCTCACAATATGACCTATATACTACACTGTATACACTACATGTCACACTTCGGTGAACCAGGATAAGCAGATACTTAGGGGTAGAGCACAGATGATATTAGCAGGCATTATTGGCTCTAACAATATGTTGGCTAAAGCAAATCATAGTAGCAGCAAAAGCAGTAAAAATTGATTTTTGTCAGTAGTTTTAGTTTGATGTGTTTTTATTCATAGTTCCTACTAAAATGATTCAACCTCCATTCATGTATGTTATTATCAACTTGTTGCTGCCATCCATGAATTTAAAGTTTGGTATTCAAATGCAAAATATCTTTATTCAGACATATCCCAAAAAAACATTTTCTCACTACTGAAAGTGTTCGGAGTGCGGATGCCCAAACCAAGCATGTCGGCACCAGACGAGTTGGGCTGATTCAGACAAAAACATTAAAATGCTGTGTCAAACATGCTTCCTTGACTGTTATATGAGAGTCAAGGTTGGAAGGATGGTGAGCATTTTGATGTAGGAACTGCTTGCTACCAGGTTTGTGCAAAAGCATTCACATTGCTGATTGATCATGTGCTGCTCCCAACAGCATGAATTCAGTGCTACAACCACCCTCCCCTTACTTGCATACACATACGCTCACACATACCTGGTCATGGCTGGCTTGGAGGGTGCTCCCAGTGCCGTGGAAAGTCATTTGCACAGGGGAGAGGGTCAGATAGGTCACAAAATCCTTACCACTCTGCGCATCATTGTACTGCACCTGGGAAAGAGGGCAAAGGTCAACAAATTCAGTTACCCCAAAAAGTAAATACAGGAAAACATCAGTCAGTGCACAGATGATGAGAGCACTGAGGTTTTCTGCGGGATATGGCCTCGTGTTTTTGGAAGTGGATGGCTTGAGAGTAAATCTTGCATGCCTAATTGCCACCAGAGCATTTGTGGACAATTACCCCACACCCACCATGCGGAAATGGTGTGGAGGTATGGACGTGTACACGTGTTTGGCGAAGGGGCATCCGAGGGGGTAGTGGTGACATCACTGGCGACCCCTCATCATTGAGAGGGTAACTCTGCAGGCATTCTTAAATGCTCTGCAATTAGGGCTGTTATGACATGATGCTCCTCTGGGACAGTCTGCTCCTGAGATCCAAGGGCTTTGGGTAAGACTGCCTGCTTATCTGCCCTACTTCTCACTGACTCTGTGCACATTTGCATGTGTATATGTCCGTTTATGTGCGTATGTGTTTGCCTGGCCTACTTTACCAAGGACAGCTGCAGGCATCCTAATAAATAGCACAAATAAGCATGAGAACTGAAAGAAGGGAAATATCAGACTGATGGAGAGAGACAAAGGGACGGGAGAGGGACATTAGAGAGTCAAAATGGTTTCACAGTACCAAGGGCAAATGAAAGAGTAAGTGAGCAGGTATAGCTTTGGAAATAACACGGCTTCTAGTACACTTCACAACAAGTAGACTGCACTTCAAACTCCTCAGATAAGTCAGACATAATAAAAAAGGCTGTTTCTAGATATTCTGACATGAATTGTGCAGATATAAAAAGGAACAATAATAATATGTAAAAATGTTAATATGAGTATCTGTTTAATTTATACACAATGAATGTGTTAGTTTGTCTCTGTTTATATATGCTGGTTGAAGTTTTACTCTCTAATCAGGGGAAAGTGTGTGTGTTTGTGTGTGTATTTCCCTGTGTGTATTGTAACTAACCTCACATGATCAAACTTTGATCTCATCTCAGGTACAGTTTTGTTGGCCATGCATATGTAACTCATGTGCACACACATGCACGCACAGACATATATGACCTGTGACTGAAAGCTTCCAGAGCGAGGTGTGTGCGTCCCTCCGAATGAGTTATGATCGTACGTGGACAAGTCTGTGTGTGCTCCAGCCGGCAAGACACATGGACGTCTGCCCATAAAGACACAGACCCATCATAACATACACAAACACGTGTTGATATGAACATGTGCGCACAGAGATATGAGCGATCAGTTGATGTTAAATATAGTCCACGCGAGGAAGACACGCATGCATGTGAACGCACACCTGCTGATGCGAAGATGGGCCCATGGTGATAAATTGTGGAATGCTATCTGTTATGTGTATGAATGATGAATGTAGTAAAGTTAGCTGTGGAAAAAGCTTTCTCTGACAAGTTAATCTCTAATAAATTCTCCAGACGTCAACATTAAGGGGAGAGAGGAAAAAAACAGAGGGGCGAAAAAAAAAAAGGACAAGAGTAGGGGAACTTTTTAGGGGCAAGACTATTATCGTCCAGTAACAGGAATCCCATTTCAGAAAGTTTGGAAATACATGTAAATGTGCTAAGCTGCTTCTATAAATCTTGGGAATTCTGCTTGTGTGTGAAGAAAAACAGAACTATGGGTGTGATCACAAAGATATGGATCTGTGTGTGTGCACAACTGTCCAGTATGCTGGTTCATTTAGGCCTTACAAGGGGCTGCGGTTGAGAGCCTGTGATATATGGTGTAATCATGCTGTCTGATCAGCGGGCACTTGGCTCGGGTTCATCTATTGCGAGCTGTCAGGCCTCCAGCTGAGGATGAGGCCCTCGCTGGTGCTGGAGGAAACAGACTCTTTCAGCTTCTCACTGCACAGATATATGCAACTTAGAATTCCCAACTTCTTCCATTGAGTGTTTAGTTGGTTAGGTATTGTTTGATCATCAGAATCCAAAGATAAGGAGCTGATTATAAAAGTTATTCAATTACAACCCACAGAGAAATTTGTGTTGTAATGCTCATTGACACGTATATGATATATGACTGAATAGATCTTGATATCTTCTAATCAAATGATTAAAACAAGGTTGGCATTCTGGCTGGCTTTCTTTCTTGGTACTTTGTTGATAAAACAGACAAAGTACGTGCTTACTTTCATTTACCAGAGACTCTAACCCATAGACAGGAAATAAAGTTGCTTGATCTTCTAGCATCAAAGAACATTACAGCATCATCACATTGGCGATGATTTTGTGGAAAGTAAAATAACAAGCATCTTGAAAACAAACTGTCTATTATCCCATCAAGCCAGTCTGTTTTGAGTGCATGTTTGTATGCATCTGTGAGTGCATGCATTCTAAACAGGCCTAACTAATCATCCCAGGTCCCAACTCAAAAAACAGCCTCTAATCCACTTCCTTTAGAGACAAAGAGGCAGGAGAGTTATGCAAGGCCTGCGATTGATCGGCGGCACTAATGTGGAACGACCTCTGACATCTGGCTTCTAAAGCTGGATGGCTCCTCTTCAAATGCTGCTCGTTATTCGAACAAACACGAACATGCACAAACTAAAAAGAAATCACAGTCATAGCACTCATGCAGCCATGCTTGAATTGTATGTGAAGTGCACAAATACGCACCGCCAATACCCACAAATAGAGATCTAGATAGACATGAGAAGGTGCAAAGTATGTACATATGCACAAAGGAAATTGTACTACTCTATTATTAGGACAGTTTTCCGCAAATGCTAATGCTTAGTATTGAAGGACTACGAACAAGTCGAGTGCAGGAGACAGAGTCAAAGAGCATGGAAATAACTCTGACTTTACCAAAATAAACAAGCCATTTTCAGCCGAAGCTGACCCGCTGTCATTGTTGGTGAGAAGCAATTAGAGGTCCACATCGAGCCACTTCAGCTGCAACCTCAGGGGTCAAGAGTGTTTGAAGTGCACTGTTAATATACCTTTGACTTCTACTAATGATTGAGGGAAAATAAAGCTGCTACTCTAAAAACTTTAGAGTGCACTTTGCCCCAATCACAGACAGAGGTCTTGAGACAATGAGACAAAGTGAGTATAGAGTTTGATTGAAGCCAGTCGGTGATTGAGAACTCACGTTCACAAATGGGATTTTCTCATGAAATACAGGTTTAAAATAGAAATACCCTAAGAGTATATTTTAATGCAATCTAACTACCAGCTTGAATTGATGACAGTCAGATGGGTGGGGTTTCAGTGGTGGTTTTTCAGTGGTGGTTTTTAGGTGAACAACTAAGATTATACTAAAACAAGGTCAGGTGTTAAAATTATATACCAAAAAGTGAGTAGAAGGGCACTCAGAGAGCGCATCTCTCCACAAAGGGGTTCTTCCTTGGCCTATATCCCACCCTTCCACCAAGTTTCAAGTTAACACTTTAGATTAGTAGATTTTGCATAATTCTGCAGGCAATCAGACAAACAGCAATGAAAACATAACCTCGAGGTAACTAGAATAATAACTTAAGTATTTGAATTAAAAGGATGCTACTGACAATCACCCTTGCAGCTAGCTATAGGAAGTCCAGGATTAGCCATGATGTGAATATGCTCTGCTCAGCTTTTGTCAAAGGAACGTGATCACATCAACGAAAATGAGAAATGATAATGGGTGGTAGTCAACCTAGCATCCAGACACAATAGCATTCTGCTGCCATGAAACGCTAGTAATTTATGATCAATGTAAACAAGCAGTATCAGATCCTTATTACCAGAGCACTGGTCCGAGATGTTAGGAGATGTTTTGTTTCCACATTAGCATCGTTTTATAGTTTTTTGCTTTAACTTGTCGAACGCTGTTCGTCTTGCTTGTCCTGACACAACGCCAATGGAAAGTGGCACATGATTTCGCAGTACAAGAAAAAATATTCCTGGTTTCCTGGCAAGGTTTTGATTTACTAGGAGAGAAACAACATTCGAGACATTATTATCATAACTATGTATTGTTTTCTGACCACTTTGTTTTATCCAGAGAGGTTTGGGCATAGAACACGGCCCAAAGGGGATTTTTTTACTATGTTATTATCTATCATTAAATTGTCATCAAAATATTTGGGACTCTGTTTCCAGTTTGTGAAAGCTCGCCCAGTACAGAAGTATATTCAACTGGTGGTAGACAGCGGGCCAGGGTACTTCTGAGAACAATAATGGGTGTGCAGATAATGAAGAGGAGAGTTTGGATTCCAAAAAAAGTGCCAGCTTAACACACCCTCCATCTACCCATGCATCACTGCCTAGTGTTGAGAGTAACATGAAATATGATCCATACTATCAAAATACAAAGAACAAAAGCAAGTGAAAGAAAAATTATGCTGCATATTCAAATTTGCAATGTGCTGTGCTGGCACTTGAGGATATTTGATTTAAAGGTTTGCAAGTGGGCTTGATTGTGAAAAAACACCATCACTCAGTTTTGCCAAACACACACAGACACAAGCGTGCGCACCAACATGAACGCAGAAGGCCACCATGTTAGCAGAGAGACTGTGCGCCGAGCCAGCACAGCATTAACGGTCTGATTTATACCACCGACAAAACTTGTTTTCGAAGATCGCTCTTCACACAAATATGCCGCAGAGCACAGCTGGAAGGCATCACCCTGCCGCAGAAATCAAACGTGGTGGGATTAGCCATCCCAAAACGTATTTTCTAACGCAAATCCCAGAGTAAACACAGAGTAGAGGAATGAGACGATGACAAGGAGGTTGGAAACAAACTGTTAGAGGAGACTTTGAACGTTTGTACCAGATCTGGTGTTTGATGTTGATACAGAGAGATGAGAGTCAGCCACGGAGATCAGGAAGGGAGGAGAGAGGGAGGGGAAAAAAGACAGAGGGAACTACCAGGCAGGGTACGAGGAGTAGTCGGAAACATTTGAAGTGGTCTTTCTAGAAAGCCAAAGAGGGAAGCGGCGAGAGGGAAGAACAAACAACGTGCAAGTGTGAGAAATCCTGG